GTTTGACATTCTGACATTGAAAAATTTTCATGTACGCGCGTGCCTTTTATGCAGATAAGTACGAGCAGCAAATTGTCTCACGGTGACGTGCCATTCTGGTAAATATTTGAGGTCGGCTTTGTCGAAATTATATACATGCATTTCTCGTTTCCTCGAGATAAACGAGAGAGAGGAACTATGTACATTGGAAACATGTCTCGCGAAGCTTTAGTCATCCAATGCTTGGAGATGCATGACGAGTAACGACGAATATTTAATATCCAGCAGTGTGGAAAATTTGTCAAATAAACAATCAAGAATTCGCACAATGTATTTGATATCGTATGACGCAACAGCCATTTTGTTTAGTATTAAATCCAGGGAGGATCTGAATAGGACTGAATAGTTAATCTAGCTTTTGGTTCAAAAGCTAACTTTCGTAGAAGCTATTTTTTACAGTGATGTTGTCACGTTGTAAAATCTTGAAAATTAGTCTTATTATGAAAAACAGCATAATATGCACAACAAGTCAACTGTTAGAGAGACTAGAAACATGTACTTACACTTTCACTTTGTTTCTTCTTATTGGCACGACAGCTATAATTGGATCACATAGATTTTAGAATAAACGATACGAAGCGAAATTTCAATTATATAATTCCAAATGTAAAAACGTCTTGGAACAATAATTAATCGTAAGACATATATATTTAACTAAATAAATAACGATAATCGAGACATTAATCTATACTTTGTGCACAAACCTTTCTGAACAGAAAATGGCGGATGATCTTTAAAAATTGATTCTAACATTGTTGTTATCGGAAGCGTAATGTTACATTGAGAGGAACAATTCAACAAAATGTTGTCGATGTTCGATAGATTTTACTTTATGCAAGGTGGACGGCCAAATTCTCTATTTATTTATTACAGAAAATTTCGTTTCAGAGAAATTTGAATGTCGACCGATTTTTTTTAGTTAGTATCGTTCCAAGATATTACGGTTAAGATCATTGTAAAATGTAAATGCACTTCGAAAGCAAACTAAAATTTAGAGCAAACAACTTGATTCAAACATATTCATTGATAGAAACTTGGAACTATATGTGTCTCTCCCACTTTACAATAAGTACATAACCGTGGGAATACAATCGTTATAGTCTTCTTCGTCTACGTATGCAGTTACTGTTCTCCAGAACAGATATGAAAATTTGAAATGCAAGGATTTCGTAATACAAGACATTCGTCAACTAATCTGCAGAAACGATATTCGAGGCATACGTATAATAAGTAATAATGTAAATTCACCGGAGAAAAATATTTACTTTTGCCAACTTAATTTTATATTATATTATCACTAAGTACCACGATAATACGGACTCGAACGAGCTTCTCGAAAAATCGCCACTTATCGACTACGTAATCGTTGTCAGTATTTGTTCCCACAAATAAATGTTTAGAATTACAAACAATCGCGTTCTGAACGAAAAACAATTTTTTTCTCTCTCTCTCTCTCTCTAATTTTGCGAGTTGTAATTGAAGAGCTAGTAATAAAGATAATCCTTGTTCCCTATTTTTAAGAAACTGGGCACGCAACATACTGGGATCGACATTACAGAGAATGATCTATATCTTAAACTTATTGTCGTATAAAAAAAATTAACCAAGAATTTTCAATAAAATCTTTATTAAAATCTTTATCACGAGTTTCAACAACTTTATGCTACAGTTACGTATAACTTTTTTGCGGTGTAATTACAGATGCGTTTACAATGAGTTGTATAACGTGATGAACAAAAATCAGAGGTATTCTTTCCTTCTTTCTTTGAAAGAAACAAGCATTTTATTACAAGCCCTTCAATTGCTACAAATTAAATGACATAAAAATTATTTTTTTTTTTTAATGTTCAAACACTTTTGTGAGCCATTGTAAATCGTATTAATCTGGTTGACTGTAAAAAGTATCCCGGACTTTTCTGCGAAAATACTGTCTTGACGTTTCTCGAGAAGAGAAGGGATAAAAAAAAAAAAAAAA